ACTATACACACTTTACTAGTGGTCCCACTTAAAGTACCTGTCTAATTGCTAGTCACTTAGACTTAGTCTCCAACTTTAACTCTCTGTAACAGGGATAAAATGTTAGGGAGAAATAGCAGAGAGCCAGAGAAAGTGTGTGTGTGTGTGTGTGTGTGTGTGTGTGTGTGTGTGTGTGTGTGTGTTTAAATTCTGGAAGGTATGCTACTACTAATTTTCTATTTCTTTTAATTTTTTAGGTTAGTGACTTTTCATAGAAGAATTTTACTAATTGCTTCAGTTATTTAGTTCAAATTGAGAATCTTTCAGTTCCTTCCAATTTTTAATGTTTTAGACTATAAACAAACATTTAAAGTGCAGAAAAGTTACTTGAAATCACTTCCAAAACTCCTTCAAGTACAATCATGAGGCACTATGAAAAGGATAAACTTGAACTAAAATGGTACTTTGAAACCAAAGGAAAGAAACTCTTTGGTATGTTCAATCATGTTGATCTTTTGTACATGGTGGTAATTCATATTGTCACTGTGGTAATAATGGTTTACCATGAAACTTAATAAAAAGATTTAAGACAAAGCAAAACAAATTTGGCCCAAGGTGAAAATACCAATATATTCTTGAATCTGAGAGTCTATTGTCAAGCTGGATTTCCCATCCAGAAAACATTTTATTTCAAGATGGTACCACAGTTTCCTTGCTATACTCTAAACAATCAGTTCTTAAAAAATTTTTAGTCTAAGTTTGCGACCTCCAAAAAGTGTCAGTCTTTTCCATATAAAAAGAGGGTAAGAAAAATTCTAAGGCCTAGCCAAAGAAAACAAATTAATGAGTTGGGTTGGGGATATAGTTCCGTGGTGGAGTGCTTGCCTAGCATATACAAAACCCTGGTTTCATCCCAGCACCCTCCTCTCCTCTAAAATGGTCCAAGTATTATGTGATTCAATGCAAATCAAAAATTTAATTAGTATCACAACAATATAATCTTTGTAATTGCCAAACACACATATAAAAACTTCAGAATAATATATATATATATACACACACACATATATATATATACACACATACATATATATATATATTTACACATACATACATATTTTCATCCAGTCGTGTGTTAGATTTCATAATAACTACATGTCCACATACATTAATGCAGTGAAAACATAAAATTATAAAATGAAAGAAATACTAATTTTGGAAAACCAGACATAGTCATTATACCTATAGGCAATTTAAAATGCTATGATTTGTACTTTTTTTAGTCTAATAAAGACAAAAAAAAAACTTGTTGTAATTTAACAAGAGTCATTGAGGAAGGGAATAACTCTAGTATTTATAAAATGAAACCCTAATACAAGGAGATAGATTGGTTTGGGGACTAACACAGCAGACACAATTACTAGGATTGTCCCTCTTCTACTCTCTCAGGCTCCAGGATAAAGAAGAATCAATTAGCCCTCAACAGACATGACCTTGAAGGCCACAGCCCTATGTATAATATGCTGAATATGCCGAGACAGAAGGAAAATGGAAAAGGAAGCATAAAGTCCTGAAACCATGGCAGAGCATGTTTCAGATATGATAATGTCATTTAAAAATACAAGTCGTGACAAGCTTAGTTCATGTCAAAAACATGCATGATGAGAGGACAGGCCCAGTTCTTTCTGCAACTGAGCAATACCTAATTGTAAAAAAATATAATTCCGTTCTAAGCTTTTTAATATTTTATATTTTTTGCTTTCCTTTATTTAATGGCTATAAGCTTTTAAAATAACAAAAATAACCAATTACAAGTTTCTGAAAGCAAAGCTGCCTAGACTAACCCCTACACCCCCCCCAAAAAAAAATGAACTCATAATTTTTTTAAGGTACCAGTCTAAAAAAATAAGTTTCCCACATAGTTTCCTATGGGCTTTAAAATGTTAACCAACTGTCTACTCCTAAGTTTTCAGGAGAAAACTATTTTTCCAGACTGGTTATCTCTGATGGACTTCAGAATGCTACAGCTGTGTATCTGGCCAGAACTGGCCACGATGATGCTTTTAGGCAGCAGTAAATCTTATCCCCTTATTGCAAATGTCACAAAATCAATGCCCTGTCATGGGGGCGGGGGGAAAGAAAGAAAAAGAAAAAGATATACCAGATGGAATGTACATGCTATTAAAACACTTAGAAGAATTTCCCTTTGAAACAATTTCTTAAAACTTTACAACTACTTTTTAACAAGGTCCTAGATCAGAAAAATATGCTGCATATTTCTTTGCATGATTTCATCAAATGACAAAATTACAGAATTTAGCTAAAGAGTTTTACAAATAACCATCCTTTTTGAGGGGGTCGGGGGTAGGGGCTCATTCAACTGATCCAGGAATATTTTCATTAAAGACTTAGGTTGAAAATTATGAAGACAAAGAAGTAACCTTGTCTTCACGGTGAATTTTGCTTCCCTGTGCAGGATCTGCACTTGCTTTTTATAGCTTGTCATTTCATCTGGGTATTATTTCCCGGTCACTTTGCCAGGTGGGAAGAGGCAGAGAATGCAGTGATATCTGTCAGACCTTTAATAATGCTTCAGGGATTCCATAAAGATGCAAAGCAGTGTCTGCATAAGAAAGGTCTTCCTAATTACATCTGGGGGAAAAAGAAGCTTCTTTTTAAGTCTTTGCCACCAAAATGTTGTGTGTGTGAAAAGATCTTGAATCTTTTCAAGCACATAGCAAGTTCTCTCTGTCTTTCTGTAACACACTGCACTACTGCATACTGAACACAATGTCTGAAGGAGGTATTCTTTAGTCTTCATTATGATCTAGAGGGAAAACAGATAGGATATTGCATCACAGATTCTCTACCTTCAACTCTTTTACCTCTGAAAGATTTTTAAAGACATTTTTGAGGAAAAAATTCTCTGTTTTTTTACTTTTTTTCTTGTAAGTGAAAATTCATCAATGGTAAAAAGTGATAGAGAAAAAAGGTACAAATATTAAAGGGGGGAAGCTATAAAAACTCCTCCCTTCTATATGTAGATGTCTAGAATAATCTGACTAGTCATGGTTTCATCCTTTCAACTTTCCATTATAAAACTATCGCAATGCCCCAGTGCAGACGGCATTATATTGTTCTGAATTGTTTTAAGAGCGTAGTCTCTTCACTCACACATTATTAAACAGGCTGCTGCAACCTGGCAGGTTAAAATGACACATGTCTGAAAAAAATGATGTACTTCACTAATGGAACTTATACTTTAATGACTGCCAAGGAAGCTATTTAAATGTCTGATTATAGGAGACAAAACTAATCTGGGAAAATCCCTTCCTGCAGAATTGCAATGTGTCTTGAACAAAATAAAACTGCTCCTGATAAGTGCTAGTAACCAAAAGTACAAATTGGGTGGGACAGCAATAGTGTCAGGCTAGGGAGAGCTGAGCACTCTAAAGATCTACAGACTTGCTGCAGTTTTGGGAAGAAACAATGATAACACAAAGGTGGGGGAGAAGTGGTGAGGGAATAGGAAGAAGAGATGGAGACAGGTAACAGACAGTTTGGGGCTACTGGGGGGGAAGAGCAACTTTTAAAATTGGGAAAAGTAAAATGCCAAATAATGCTCATGGGTATATGGAAGTTATATTCCTTTTAAAAAATAAAGGACAGCCTGATGTTTTAATTTCTAAAAACATCAGAGATAAACTGAATTTAACTTAAATTCAAGCATGACCTTCTGATGCTGAAGTTTTGAATCCCAAATCCCAGATTTAACAATCCATCTAGCGGGAGCTGCTGTTAGAAAACTGATTAATACCAGGAGTTTATACATTTTTTTTTCTTTTACTCATCTCTTCAATACTACCCTGAGCATGAGAGTCACATGATTTGCTCCAATAAAACCATGTAATTAAAACCCAAGAAGAAAGGAAGCAGCTACACGCTGATTCTAGAGAACACCTCCTGGAAGCTGCATCCCACCCTTTATGCATCACCATCATCTCTCTCTGTCTCTCTACTTACAAAGTTTAGGAGCAGTTTGGAGATTAGTTTCTGTTGTTTGTGGCTGAGTTGCTGACTTGGGTGTTCTCACCTCAGGGTTCCGAGTGGTTGAAGGGAAGGGCGGTGCAGTGGATGGCAGGAAAGAAAAAGCAAAAATACGATTCTTCGGGGTTGGTGCTGCTGAAGGTTCAGAAGACCCAGCAGTGTTGCCAACTTGCACTGTAACTTGAACCTCAGTTTCAGATTGAGCCCTAGAGACAGGTGAAGTGTATGCCTTAGACGATACCCACACAGCTGAGGCAGCAGTTGGATCCAGAGAAATAATAGGGTCCTGGCCTAAGCCCCCAGGGTCAAGGTGAGTAGGAGAGTCGTACTCAAATATCTTGTCCACAAATACCCACTTGAGGCCAGCAATGCAGAGGCAGAGGCTGACCAGGCAAGCCAGAATGGGGACAATGCAGATTTTCTCTGAGTTGAGGCAACCTCTCAGGCGCTCGGCTTCCAGGCACACACAGCAGGGCACGGCCAGGCCCACAAGTCCAGGGGTTCTCCCATCTTCAGTCTGGGTCTCTGGCATGTCTTCAGCTGCCGGAAGCCCGTCCAGAGATGGGTCTGCACTCAGCTGAGTGGAGGGGCTAGAGGACCTCACAGGAGGCACCTCAGACATGTCTGGGGAATAAATCTCCATCGGCTCACCTCCAGAAGGCCTGGCCTCTCTCACGGTCCATTACCATGCAGAGCCCCCCCCAACCAAATGATACAGCATCTTAGAGGGGGAAATCGATAAGTCGTCCAAGTCCAAGGCCATTATCAAAATCGAGAGGAGTTCAGTTGGAAGAATAGAGGAAAAAAAAAAGAAAAAAGAAAGAAAGAAAAGCTTCTGGCAACTACAAAACAAAAGTATATTGTAATAATTCTTTAGCTGTTGTTTCTGGGCCACTTTTCCAGTTCTTTTAAATGCTTCTGCAAACCATCCCGGCTGGTCAGGAGGGGCCAAAACAGAATCGGAGCCGATGATGGCTGGCTAATTAAGTAAACCAGTAGCCCAAACTGAAAGGCATGTTTCTCACCTCAAGTATCTGAAGCTGGTGTCTGCTTAGATGAAGAAAACAAGTGTCATGCAGGAGAAGTAAAAGCAAAAGCAGGACCAGCGGCGGCGGCAGCAGCGGCGGCGGCAGGAGAGGCAGCAGTGACAGTAGCAACAGCATCCTGTTGTGTTAACGCGACGGCTGAAAGAGGCTGAATCATTACAGAGCAGCAGGTGCCTGCCCTCCAAGCATCACTGCAAACAGTAGCATCACAGAGGGATCTGAAGGAAAGCCTGCGGCCAGGAGGGGCGGTAACTCCCTTCCCCGCCCTGCCTCCACCCCCACCCCCCAACCACTCCTCTTTGTCCTTCTTGAGCGCTCACTTTCTTCCTCTGCAGTCTTCCTTCTTCATAGTCTCTTTCTCTTTTTTCCCCTCATCCCAAACTCGTCCTGTCTCTCTCCTCCCTCCCCCCCCCTCTCTCTCTCCTCTCTCCCCACTCTCCCAGCCCCCACCCTGTATCCCCCACTCTAAGCTGCCGGCTGGTCTGAGTAAAATCAGTACTGTGCACCCAGCAACACAGGACTGCCAGTGACTTCCTATTTTATCCAATTAGAAGGAATAAAGGCCATCAAATCAAAGAGAAGCAGGCAGGCACCAGTTAAGCTTGGTCCCCATGCACACACACCCCCCCCTTTCCCTTTCTCTTTCTTTCTCTAGAAAAGCAGCCCCAGTCATCCAACTCCCCCTGCCCCCCCCCTTGCTTGCTCTCCCTCTTGCTGACTCTTTCCTTCACCTACGGTTGGGTCAGGAAAAGCCAGCGATCGATTCTAGCAATCTAACAAAGCTGGGATGGGGCGGGGGATGTAGGTGGGACCTTATGGGTTGGACCTGAGGCTTGGCAAAGTCTGATATCTGATTCCTCCCCAGAGAGGTAAGCTTTTTCAACAGCAATTTCTTCCTGCCTGCTGCTGAGAGATAGCATTCGTTCCCCAGTCTACTCTAATAAGTTTTGTTCACCAGCAGGACTGTTATTACCTAATTTTCAACCAACAGTTAGAAACATTGTTTTCTAACCATGGACAGCTCTGCATTTAGCCCTTTGTATGATGACTGTGTGAGACTTTATAGTGTCCGATGTGAAATGCAGAGTGTTAGAGGCTGAGAAGTACTAAGGGAAGGAAGAGAAGCCCTTACATCCCCTTTCCTTAAATTTGCACTTCCCTTGTTCTACCCAGAGCAGGCTAAATTAATGTCAAGAGAATAGGACACATTGGTAAGTAACATAGGAGCAAGGGCTACTGCTTCATTTTTAAATTAGCCTTTCATTGTGACTCCACACTGCACAGGTTTGAATTCCCTGGATGCTGTAATATATACCACATGTCCTCAGCTATAAAGGCACTGCAAGTATTGAGAAGAGTTTTCAATACAGCATGCCTTTCGGGTTAGGTTTCAGGAGCTGTACCTTACAGTTTCAATGCTGTTTTTTCCCCCTGTTAAACCAGTAGTCATTAAAAGATGAAAAGAAATGCAATGTCCTTAATGGAGAAGGCAGGCTCCTCAGAACATTCTGTTGCACATCTATGTGTGCTATATGCATCTGAACCTTAATCCACACTTCACTGAGACTGGACATCTGAAAGGTTTCCAAGGAATCATTGTATTCACTTATGTCAATAGAAGTCTTAAAAAACTCTCTAAATCTACACTATATATCCATCAAATGAGTCCCAGAAGCCGTAAAATTTGGAGCACAAGTCCTATGAAAATCTGCTTTAAGCACTTTATATTTTGTATAGCACAATTTCCACTCTTTTGAAATATGTTTAAGCTTCAAATGGCAGGAGATAAGAATATTATCATTTCCTTCAATATGAAATTACTCCATAGTTTTCAAGGATAGTAATATCTTAAACTGTATTTTCAGTATTATCACTAACAACAAAAGCTGGAATTAATTTGCCTAACTGTAACCATAACTACGACAACCTTATGGACAAAATGAGTTATACTTAAGTTCAGCTCTCTATGACCTGCATCTATACACCAATAACCACATTTTAAAATCATTTCTATGCTCATTTTCTAGCTTTACCTGTTAATTTTAAAGTATTGAGAACTCTCTTAATAAAGATTCTAGTGATGGACAGGAAGTTTTATAGTACAGAAAATACTGAAGCATTATGATCTTAATTATCAATATTCATGTAAGTATTCCAAAACAACATAAGCAGGTAAAGGTTTAGGCTAAATTAGAATAATTTATAATTTTTTCAAAGATCACTCAAGTTACATTCATAGCAACTCTTCAATTCTGCCCCCAAACCAATATAACACTCAAGTTTGATATTTTGACAGTTCATTTTGGGCATGGTCATCTAAATTTCAAAGACCAAAGTGGAGTTCCTCTAGCCCAAGTCATATAGGTGAGAGAAGAAACCAAGAACAATAACCCAGAGATGTGAAAATCTGTTGTTAACTTGCACCAATCATAATTACCTCACCTTAATCATTATGAGCTAACGTATTGTGGACTGGAGTTGTGGCTTAGTGGTGGAGGACCTGCCTAGCATTTGTGACACGCTGGGCTCGATTCTCAGCATCTCATATAAGCAAATAAATAAAATAAAGGTCCGTCAACAACTAAAAGAATGTATTTTTTAAAAAAGTTAAAAAAAAGAGTTAAATATTGAACAGACATAATAAGCTAGGGGATGTTGCTCTAGTTGTCATATTAAAAACCACCAAAACTTTCAAAGAAAGACAATATGTTATACAAAAGCAAGAGCAAAATATCAGAGATAGTGTCTTAAGGGCTGCTACAACTATTCCTTGCCCTGGACTACACAAATCAAACTTTGGGATGAGTGTGCTTGCTCCCTGGGAATGGATTTCATGAACTCCGTGGCACGCTGGCACTGAGATCAGCTTGCAGAGAGTCAGTTTCCTATAAAATTGTTTTCTTCTACTAAATTGGAAGATGAATGTAACCGGGGAAAGGGAGTAGGACAGGAGGTGAAGAATAAAAGGAATTCTCCATTAGTTCTACCCTGGGGACTAGGAGCCAGAAGTTACCTTTATCCCTTCATCAAATCTACAGCAATAAGTACACGAGGAAGGGTAGCATACATGGGGTTATAGGTCAGAATTGCCTTTGGATGAAACATACTTATGTCCATAGGAAGAACTATAGAACAAACTATATTTAACCCTTAAAGTGCCACTGTAATAAACCCCAGGAACACCCATATTTCCATGTCCTCTTAAAAAACATGAAAAGAGACAATCTTTCTACTACCTTTTTAAAACCTTCTATTACCACCTTTTTCATAATAAAAGCTACATTTATTTGAGCTCTACCTATGTGCCTGGCACTCTGCTAAGTTCATAACATACATTATTTCTGATCTTTGCTAATACTATATAATCCTTATTACCTTGAAAATAAAGAGACATGGGCTCAGGAAATTTAGGTAATTTAGCCACAGAGTAAATGACTAAAAGAGCCAAGATCTGAAGAAGGCCTGACTCATGCTATTTATGCTGAAAAACACTGCTTTTTTCAGTCAAAACAGTATATCTATTATGTATTCTTTACATTTCAATTCAATGAGAGAATAAGAGAACCAGAAAGAATAAACAATCAAACGTGAATTTTTTACCTTACTACAATTAACAAATTTAAAGGTGCCTAGTTTCCAAAACAAGAGCCTTCTAAAATTTTGCCTACTGATTTCCAGAAGTTAGTTATAATGATTAAACATAGGCCATTTAAATATGATCTATTTTTAATTTAAATTAAATGAGCTCTTCTATAGTCTCAATTCCAGAACTCTTTTGGGGGAGCTATTTCAATTACATATTGCTGCAAAATAAACTGCTCTGAAATAGCTTAAAATAGCAATCTTTATTATGTCTCACTAGGCTGTTGATTTACTGGGTTCAGCTGAGTGGTTCTCCTGACCCATTTGATGCCCGATAGAGACATAATTTGGCCTGAACATTCAAGGTAGCTCACATATATGACTGGCAGCTGAAGCAGATGTCAGCTGGGAACTCAACTGGAGGTGTCAAATGGCGGACCAGCATGTGGCTTCTCCATGTGGCTTGAGCTTTGCATAGCATGGTGGTTAGGTTCTGAAAGGAAGCATAGGCTTCCAGTCCTGATAAAGACTGGTGTGGAGTGCCACAAGTTATTTGCATTGCATCTTCTTTGTTAAATAATCACAGTGCCAGTCCAGACTCAGGACAGGAATACTAAATGTTGATGGAGAGAGTGACAAAGAGTTTGTTGCCACAACAGGGGAAGCAAATATACGTAAGCCAACCTGGGTCAAGAGGAGACATAATAAGAGAATGGATTTGGAACAAGCAGGTAAAATATACCTTGTATTTCTGATCCACATTCTTGATATTCTAGCTTCCTTGTAAGTCAGTTTCATTGAAATAAAATCCTATTATTGCATAAAAAAATACTTAAATTCCTCTTCTACTTCAACCCAAGCTAGCTACTTATTTCTGCTTTCATTTTCAGAAGTATGTAACACAGCTCCAGCAGATGAAAGGGGATGATAAATGGCATTTGGGTTTTGACCACATTATCCAAGTTTATTTTCTCTTTTGCATTTTTTGTTGTATTTTGCTCTTTGCAAAAGTTCCTAAATTTTATCACTTAAAAAAGGTAGAATTTATTTCATGGTATATAATATAGAATGATGATAGCAGTAATTTCATTTTTAAGATAACTAGGTATAAATGGTAATTTATATATTTATTTGCTAATGAAATATGAAATCATGATTTTCACAAGAAAGCTCCAAGGCCCAAAGGACATTTTAAAAACTTGCTGTTCTATCAGAGCATCAAGTACCAAAATGGACCTGTTAAGACTCCTCCCACCAACCCAAAACATCCCCTCAGCCTCCACGGAGCCCTTCCTAATCTTCCAAGTCATGGATTTCCTCACTGTAATATTTATTGGGGCATATTTTAACTGTCATGTATAATTATTGAATAATATCTTGTAAAGATACTGACATCTTCTTGATACCAACAATTGGGACTATCAACTTCTGCTTGTCCTAAATCTAGAGATGTGTCGGCAATTCAACACACATATTTTGCTTGGTTTTATTTTTAATTGAGATTGAATTAAAAATACATAGATTATTGTGCCCCTAACAAATTGGTAGACTTTTTCATATCCATCTATCTATCTAAAATACCATCTGTACTTTCTTTCATATGTTCAGCCTTTTAATGTCCAGTTCAAATACTTGCTTCTCAAATATGCTCTG